TCGCTGCATTGCGCGAGTACTCTTCTAGTATATTTTAAATATGGTAAATTATATGAAAAAGTAACGTATTTCAACTTAATTCTTATTTTATGTAATATATTTTTAAAACTTTTATTTTAATATTTAATATGTAAATAATTATCCAGATAACCAATTGAAATATTAACCGTTATCATGTTGATGTTTTATCCAACTCAGTATTATTTGTTGACGTGGTTAGTGGCATGAATTTTTTTTTAATCTAAAATGAGTCTTCAACCGGGTACTTAAATGTTTAAAACTCTACATCTTAGATACGAAAATGAAAGTTTATAAATTACGTTATCTAAAATATGAATCAATTTAAGGTACGCTATTTTTCATGCAATTTGCCCTATTTAAAATGGTATAAATGAGAGATCTCCCATAAGCGGGACCACCACCCAATAGTAGATAATCTTCTAATTATTTCAGAACAACTAGAAAGATATTCTTTAACCAGAAAGAATTCGGTTCAGATGTAAGATACCTAACCAGAAGTTTTCGCAACTCAATCATAGATGATGGAATGATCCAAGATTTGACCTTACTCGTCAATTTCATGTATACGTCGAGTTTGGGATGGGTAGGATATATCCAGATCTTTTTTTTTCAGTTCTAGAGGATGGAGAGATTGTTTATGTGAAACGATCCAACTTCTATGGCAGATAAATAAAATACATATAACATGTGATACACAAGACCGTGTGCAAAGTAGCAGTAATATAGCTTCGAGTGTATGGGGAAAAAGAAGAAACACGTTGAGTAGAAACCAGATATTGATAAAAACAGTACTGTAAAGATGTTAATCAGTTATTACCTAACAAAATAAATATGGGATCTTCTACATTGATGCAAAAGACGAGTGTTACCCACGTGTCATTAGACGCACAACATTCGCAAAGCTACCAACGATTGAACTCCTATGAAGAGTTAGAAAGGAAAATGTTTACCTTTTTCTGCATTACGTTAAGATTTTGTTATCTGGTTTCCATCTATGCACGTACGTCGTCATATGCCAAGTTTCTTTATTTTACTGCAAATGTCATATGAAAATGAAAGGCAGTATATTTTTTTGCTTGTAAGCTGCTAAAACAACGTATGAAACAAATCTCTTTAGATATTATTTTTTTGATTAATCTAGATATCCAACTCGCTATGCGAGTCAACTAATCTCATGGCGACCATCTGCTTTGCGGGTAGCCCGAAGTCACCGCATTTGAACCTCCATGACCACAAGGGGTATTTTATTTCTATTTGGATTTGAACCTGAGACCTCCAGACACTTTTGACCTTTTGAGCTCAAACTCAAACCAATCAGGCACCACCCTTTGTGGTTTTAAATAATTTGTATCTAAAACAAATGGTCATTTGATCTGGTGATACTTGTGTTATCGGTAGGGTGCAATCTCCCGAAAGGTCAGTGGTCCAAACCTTAAGGCGAGGAAGGTGTTGCGTCATTGTATGCTTAAAAAAAGTTGTACCGATTAAAGTGCGGGGATTGATATGCTTACAATGGAGTCTTAATGTGCAATTGGGTATAGAGGAAAACGACTTCTGTAAGTTATACATGTGTGTTACACGTTTGTCATGTGTGCGTTTTTTTAAGACATTGTTAAAAAAAATGTATAAAGCATATATTGCACTCATAAAATCAACATGTTTGCTTGTTAAGTATTGATTTATATTATTGAAAGGTTGCACATGATAAGTTATATATATAGAGGAGCGATCAAATGAAAACCACTGCAATTTGTATATGTGTGTGTGTGTGGTATATTTCAAATGCAACCATGTTCATTTGTATAACCAATATAACCCAATTAATTGAGATATTTATGAAAATGATGAGAGTTCATTTATTATGATTTGAATATTTATGGAAGATGACTAAAATTGATTAATTATGACCAATATTTTATATTAGGAAACAATCAAAATTTTATGAAATCACATATTCATCGAATTAAATAGACGGTTGAGATTGAGTTGCATTGGTTGTACAAATGTAAAGGGTTGTATAATAACACACATCTCTCTCTCTCTCTCTCTCTCTCTCTCTATATATATATATATATATAGGTAACAATTTGTAATTACAAATAGAACAAATTGCATGAACAAATTAACGTACTTTTACTTTATTCCTATTTTGGTTAAAATACTTTCAAAGTTCCATGTTGGTATCTAATATGTAAAGTTTTAAAACACTTAAGTACCTGGGTGACCTGTTGAAGACTAACCTTATATTAAAAAAATCCATGTCACTAACCATGTCAACAAATAATATTGAGTTGGATACCATATCACTCACTACATCAGTATGATAACCGGTTAATGCTTCAACC